TTCGGCATTTGTGGGCAGCAGGATTTCGCCTCGGGTTGTTACACTTGCTAAATTGAACCCGGCGAGAAGTTTTGTGGTCGGAATTGTGCTTCCGGTTAGTTTGGCATGTTCTAGCACTCTCCACTAGATAATGTTGGATGAACTCTCTGGGTCCACCAAAACACATTTAATCTTGAATCTAAAATATTAAGAGAGATTACCAAGGCATCATTGTGTGGAAGTAAGAGTCCATCTGCGTCCTCCTCCGTGAAGGTGATTTCATCCTCAGTGACTTCCTGGAGTCTCTTTCTATGGGTCACCGATACCTTCGTCTTTTTAGCTGTCGAGAAAGTTACCATATTAATCTCGTTCCCCTCGAAAATTATGTTGATCGTCACACAAGGGGGATCTGCCCCCGCTTTCGAGGGTTCCGCGTTATCCCGGTTGCGACCGTAGTTTTTCTTGGTCTGGCCACTTAAGATATCTCTAAGATGGCCATTTTTCAGCAATGTCACCACCTTCTCGCACAGATGCCGGCAGTTCCCAGTCTGTGGCCGTTGGTCTTATGGTACTTGCACAATAAATTAGGATCCCTCTGACTGGGATCAGATCTCATTGGCTTCGGGAACGGCGCTTCCTTAATGTTCCTCATAGCTAACATTAATTCCACCATGCTAACGTTGAAGTTGTATTCGACTCGTACCGGTCCGGGTTTAATTTATCTTTATTCTTCTCCCGGTCCTGACCCTTGATTGATGCCGGGAAACCGACCTTGTCATCCTCAATGCTTATCTTTGACTCGTACCGGTTGTGAACATTTACCCATGTTGTGGCCTGGACCTCGAGCAGACATTCTTTCAATTTTTGGGAAGTGTCGGAACTTCTCGGATACAGCCCTTTAGTAAATGCTTTAGCTGCCCATTCGTCCGGTTCGATGGTAGTATCATCCTTTCTTTCTAGAATCTAGTCACGAACTCTCATAGCAATTCGGACTCTCTTTGTGCAATCCTGAATATGTAGGCCTTTCGGGCATGTACCTTCCTGGCCCGGGCATGGGCCTTGATAAAAGAATCCGCGAGCATCTCGAAGGAATCTATTGAGTGCTCGGGTAAAAGAGAATACCATGCCAGGGCCCCTTTAATGAGGGTCTCCCCGAATTTCTTCAATAAGGCTGACTCAATCTCGTTCAGAGCTAAGTCGTTCCCCTTCACCATCGTTGTATAGGTGGTGATGTGCTCTTGAGGATCTGAAGTTGCTCATATTTTGGTACGTCTGGCATCTTGAACCGGTTCATGATCAATTCTGGTGTCGCGCTTGGTTTGAATGACAATTGGGTGTATTTCTTTGAGTCTGGTCCTTTCAATACTAGTGGCGCCCCCAGAAATTGATATATTCGGCCGTTTATTTCCCTCATAAACCACATGAGTTCAGTTTTAAAGGGATCATTCTCATTGTTGTAACCAGATTTGTTACCGTCCTCCTCGGCCCTATCGAAGCCAACTTCGCCCCTTAGGGTGTTGTTTTCGACCCTCACCGTTGTTTGGTTTGCGGGAGCACCGGGAGGAACTGGACCCCGTCCATTCGCATTGTTTGAAGCGCCTGACAATGCTTGCCTCAACTCTGTCATGACCTAATTCTTGCGAGAGGGGTGGCCCATAATAGTCTTTTATTTCTCCCTCGAGATCCTTACTGTTTCAGCGGCGTGCTCGTCTTCAGTATCATCAAGAGTCGCCTCTCGAACATGTCATGGATATGGTCCGCCATGGACCGACGTGGTTTCATCCCCCTCGTTGCGGGTATCACTGATCGTGTCATCGTGCTGATGCTGATTTCCTTGGGCCTCAACGTTGTGTGCGATGTTAACATCATTATCAGCCATTTTTATGATTTTGCTAAGAACAAAAAATCAAACAGGTTAGTAATAGATGCAAGAATCAACTCTATTACACAATTGTCTAAGCCTTACGGTGGGCGCCAAAGTGTTTACCCGTAAAATGATATAGTTGAATCTATACGTGCTTTATAGATAAGCGAATCGATTTGATCCCAAAATGATAAATAAATTAAGCAAGAATATAAGACTTAGCATTGAAATCGAGATAAGACAGCAGAGATCTTGATTTCGAGAGCAGAGCTTCCGGAGGTAGTAATAACGATATTAATAAGCAAGAAAATTAAGTGTTATTAAGCTTCAAACAATACAGAGCATAAGTTTGTCAGAAAATGCATTTGTTACAATGGTTGGTGAGCTCACTATTTATAGTTTCACCTAGGGAACAAGGTCATAGGATCAAGCCCCTCTTAAATGACAAGTATGGGGGCCATTGAAGAATATGTAACGACATGCAATTAATGACATATTCTCTGTAACGGACTACATACTTAATGCTATAAAATATTCTCCATTGATTGTTCTCGGGTGGCAGGCCTTTATTTGTATTTATGAGCAGCATTCCCTTCGGGGACAACCGAGATTGGTGCCCCCTGACATGATTTCCATTTTTCTTGCTTTTCATCTGTCTCCGGTTCCACGTGGCGCTCTATTATGGTCATTGAGAATAATAAAATTTTAGCTTCTTCTTACTTACTTGAGTCAAATGATTTATGACATATACGATTGGGACATGTCAATTAAAAAATCTTGTGAAAAATGATTAATTTGGAAGTATTGCCAAAGTTTGAATGCGACAAATCAAAATGTTAAATATATGTAGAATCTAAGTATGTTAAACATCCTTATAAGTCTGTTGAAAGGAGTTCAAATCCTTTAGACTTAATTCACACAGATATTTGCAACATGAAGTCAATACCATCTAGCGTTGGAAAGAAGTATTTCATAACTTATTCTTACGGCAGTACTCGATATTGCTATGTTTACTTACTTAATAGTAAAGATGAATCAATAGATGCATTCAAGTAATACAAATATAAAGTTGAAACGCAACTTAACAAGAAAATCAAAATGACGGCCCCTTACACTCCCCAATCAAATGGGATTGCGGAAAGAAATCANNGCCCATCTTGAATTATTTTAAAGTGTGGGGGTGTTTGGCAAAAGTGAAAGTTCCTAAACCCAAAAGGGTAAAGATAGGACCGAAAATCGTTTATTGTATTTTCATAGGATATGCAACCAATAGTAATGCATAGCTATTTCTGGTCATAAATCAGAAAATTCTGGCATCCATAATAATACGGTTATAGAATCAGATAATGCTGAATTCTTCAAAAATATATATCCGTATAAAAAGAAATGTGAGTCGATTGGTGAAGGATCTAAACGACCTCGGGAAGAAACAAAGGAAAGTACGTATAATCAAGAGGATCCAAGATGTAGTAAACATCAAAAAACGTCTACTTCGTTTGGACCAGATTTTGTGACTTTCTTATTGGAAAATGAGCCTCGAACATTTACAACAACAACAACCCAGTATAATCCCACTAATGGGGTTTGGGAAGGGTAGTGTGTATGCAGACCTTACCCCTACCCTGGGGTAGAGAGGCTGTTTTCAATAGACCCTCAACTCCCTCCCTCCAAGAACTCCTCACCTTACTCTTGGGGTGACTCGAACTCACAACCTCTTGGTTGAAAATGGAGGGTACTTACCACTAGAGCAACCTCGAACATTTAAAGAAGCTATATCTTCTTCCGAATCATTATTTTGGGAAGAGGAAATAAATAGTAAAATAGAATCCATACTGAACAACTATACATGGGAATTGGTTGATCTTCCTCCATGCAATAAACCGTTGGGTTCTAAATGGATTTTTAAGAGGAAAATGAATGATGATGGTACTATTTACAAATATAAGGTAAGACTTATGGTCAAAGAGTATAGACAACGAGAAGGTATTGATTATTTTGATACATACTCTCCAGTTACAAGAATTACGTCCATACGAACGTTAGTAGCATTAACTGCGGTATATGGTCTTGAAATTCATCAAATGGACATTAAAACAGCCTTCTTAAATGGAGATTTGGAGGAAGAAATTTATATGGAACAACCTGAAGGGTTTGTGATTCTAGGTAAAGTAAAAAAAGTATGTAGACTTGCTAAGTCGATTTACAGACTAAAACAAGCACCCAAATAATGGCATGTAAAATTTGACCAAATAATATTGTCAAATGGTTTTAAGATAAATGAATGTGATAAATTTGTATAGATAAAAAATGTTCCAAATCACATAGTCATTGTTTGCTTATGTATAGATGATATGCTGATAATGAGTATTGATAGTGCCAACATAAATGCGACTAAGCGTATGCTAACTAGCAAGTTTGATATGAAAGACTTGGGAGTTAACGATTTAATTTTGGGTACTAAAATCTATAAGACTCCTTAACGTCTAGTATTGTCGCAATCTCATAACATTAAAACAATATTTGAAAAATTTAACCACTTAGATTTTAAAGTTGCAAAGACTCCAAAGAACAAAGGCCAAAGCATATCACAATTGGATTATGCTCGTGTGTTGGGATGCTTAATATATATCATGAATTGTACTCGTCCAGATATAGCTTGTGCTATAAGTAAATTGAGTCTATACGCGAGTAATCCAAGTGAATCTTATTAGATAGTGATGAAACGAGTTTTGGGATATTTAAAATATACCCCAATACTTTGCTTTGCACTACAGTAATTATACTTCGGTGATTGAGGGATACTGTCACTACAAGAAATCTATCTTTTAGTGGTGATATTTAGTGGCGACTTTATTTATTATTACAAATGGTATATTCATTGTGGCGACTTGATAAGTCGCTACAAAATGAAAACTTTTACTGACGACTTTCGCAGGTAGCCTCTAATATGTGCCACTAAATCTTGAATTCTTAGTTCCTGCTATGAACAAAAATTTGACTCCAAATATTTAGTAGCGACTGATAGATAGTCGCCTCTGAAGGTGTTTTGAGGCGAGTGGGTCGCCTCTAATAGTGTAATTATTAGACTTTAAAAATAAAAAACTAAATAAAAGACCCAAGTAGACAAAATAAAAAAATACTAAGTCCTAAAGTTAAGCTCTGAACAAAAGAAAAGACCGAAGCCTTTCTTCTTCCCTCTTCTCGATTCTCTTGCAAAAGCTCTATTTCTTCTTCAAATTTTTCAAATTAAATCTTTCACTTTTGTTTAATCACAATATGTGAGCCTTATGTATGAAACCCAAAAGCCCTAACACAAGTTGTAATCTCAGATTGTATTTTTGAATCAGGTAATGTGTGCAAACCCCAAACCCTTTTGGGTGTTAAATGCAGTTAGGGAGAGTGAGAATTTCAACAATTTTACCTCTAATTTCTCTAACCTATTTGAAATCTACAGGAGTAGAAAGTATGTTTTCCAATAATATCATCGTGTAAAGTCCTTCTCGGTGTTGACAATCTCTTTTGTTGGGTAAGTTGATTTTTTTGTTTTGAAATTCTTAAATTTTTGGTGATTGCATGTTTGGTATAATGCTGAAATGAGATGTTGTGTGGTATGGGTCTGTTATTTTTCCTGATATTTTTTGACAGAATTCCATATATTTCATAAATTTTTTCCCAATAATATTTTATGTAGTGAGGTCACTGAAGATTCTTTTGAGCTATACATTGGGAAAGATATTAGAAGTGAAAAACATTAGGATTTATTTGATTCATTTTTAAGATGTTACTTCCTTTATTTTGTTCATAATTCCTTCTCTGCTTGTTCATCGTCTTTGTGATATACATCTGTTTTCATATAGCGCTCCATTTTTTGAGCTTTTTCATGTCTCTAATGAGTGCTAGTTCTTATTATTTTCTGCTAATTATTTAATAAATAATATAATTTATCAATTTATAGTGTTAAATTGAAAACAACTTAGACAAACTAAAATAGATAAATGGAGTCAATTAAGTTCTAGTTCGTCTATTTATCGCAGTCAAGGTATTTTGATGATATCCCCTTTGACAACGTAATTTTGCATTTGAAAGTTATATTTTCTTAACTATTTGATTGGCTGAAATTTTCATAATCTTGAAATGAACTGTTTCTTAGTCTCATTAGTTCATAAATGTATCTAGGTTCCAGCCTTGTCATTCCTTATGTAAAATATTTCATGACTTTATCATTCATTTATCTTTAGAGATATACTGGAAAAGAACTCTTGGTTGTGTTATATAATTTTGTTTGTTGACAAATGCAACTATTGGTTTAAAGTTAATTGCAGCACTCTTTGTAAATCATGTTTTTGAGATTATATTTTGCTATGTAAGTGCTGACTTTAACCCATGTAGAACTCTCTGTAAAGAGAAATTTTTTCTTACTTTAGGGAAGTAAGATGAGTTATAGACACTATGCAATGACTTTTCAAAGCATGGAAAGCTCGACTGAGCATTCGCTACTCTCGCCATGTTGCTGAAGGAAACATATTGTCTCGTCGACCTGAAGATGTTGAACTAGAGGACTGGAAATACTTAGTAGAGTATTTTGGATGTCCGGAATTTAAGGTAACTTAATAATAATGTTTGGTTCACTGCCCTTTGGATAATGGTTTCTTAACCATTGACTTAATGCAGATTGTAAGCGAGAGAAATAGAAAGAATAGGGAAAAATAAATTACTAAGCATGCGTATGGTATAAGGTCTTTTACAGAAGTAGAGGAATCGATGGTGAAATATATTTATTTTCATGTTATTATTTAAACATCTTTGTTATTTATATATTCATTTATTTGATTCTATATTATTTTCCTATTGAAATATATTTTAGAAAAATCCTTCCACTGGAGATAAGGAACCACTAGATAGAGTTTGGGAGATCCAACATACACGTAAAAATGATAGAGGAGAAACAGTGTGGGTGGATCCACAATCCCAACAAATTCATGTAATATTCTTAAATCAATATCTTACTATCTTTTACTCCTTTTTATTAGTTTTGGTGTAAATATCTATGCGTAATTGCAGTGCCAGCTCTAGGAACTTGTGGCTCAGCAACAATCTGAAGAGATAGAGCATCCCATGACTAGAGATGAGATTTTATCCTCTGTTCTTGGTGAAAGGACATGTTATGTTCACGGTAATGGGTATGGAAGGAAGCCTCCAAAAAAGAGTCACACGCAAGCGACAAACATAGAGGCTAGTATGTCTTCTGCAATAGAAATTGAGCGTCAAGAGATGCAAGCTTATATGGATCGAAAGTTCCAAGAAGAACGCGTACAAATGACTGCCGAGTTGAAAAGGAACATGGAGCAAGAGTTACAAAGAAAGTTGGAAGAGAAGCTTGAACATGTGAATCGGAAGTAGACAACAACATCAGTCTAGAAGTAGCCAAGAAGATCCAAGAACAACTGGGTGCTTTCATGATCAGAATGCAACATGTAATTTACTCTTAATGTTTTTATACTCTTTGTCACGACCCAAAATTTCTCACCGACGGGACCGTGATGGCGCCTAACATTTTACTTACTAGAGAAGCCAACGTTAGAGAATCATTAACCAATTCCTTAATTTCATTCAATAATTAACAATAATTAACTAAGGTAAAATATAATAAGTGCGGAATATCATAAATCTGTATTAACTACTACCACCCGGATCTGGAGTCACAATTCACGGGCATTCTAGAATTTACTACAAGTAATAGCCTGAAAGAAATACAACTGTCTGAATAAAAGAAAACAATAGGACATAAAAGATAGACGGGGACTTCAAGGTCTGTGAATGCCGACAGATCTACCTTGAGTCTTCGGACAGCGGACCAATAGCAAATATCGATCAACCTAAGCCGGTATCAAAATCTGCACAGAAAGTGCAGAGTGCAGCATCAGTACAACCGACCCTATGTACTGATAAGTGTCGAGCCTAACCTCAGCGAAGTAGTGATGAGGCTAGGACAAGACAACCACATATAACCTGAACAGTATAATCATGCTAGTGGCAACGACAGTGAATAAAGCAATAACGCAGAAATAATGGGAAGGGAACATATCGTGGGGGAATACAACATAAAGACTGAGAATAATGAAAAGACAGAATTAAACAGAAAATCCTTAAATGAATTGAACAAATTAAACAGCAAGAAAAACTGCACGGCATCACCCTTCGTGCTTTACACTCTTCCTCACAATATAATTAAATTATACACGGCATCACCCTTCGTGCTTTACACTCTTCCTCACAATAAAATTAAATTATGCACGGCATCACCCTTCGTGCCTTACACTCTTCCTCACAATATAATTAAATTATGTACGGCATCACCCTTCGTGCTTTACACTCTTCCTCACAATATAATTAAATTATGCACGACATCACCCTTCTTGCTTTACACTCTTCCTCACAATTCACAGAATCAATAACAACGGATAGAGAGAGAAGTTTCACAAGAAATCAATATTCTTAAGTTTTTCCAACAAAAGTCAAAAACCGACCCCGAGCCCGCTTGATCCAAACCCGAGGTTCGGACCAAAATCCGTTTACCCATTCTCCCCGGAGCCCGGATATACAATTGATTTTGGAATCCGACCTCAATTTGAGGTCTAAATCCCTAAATTTCGAAATTCCTAAGTTCTACCCAAAAATCCCTAATTCCACCATGCAAATCCTATATTTTAAGTTGAAATCTTGTAAAATATAGTGAAAGATTGAAAGAAACCAGTTTAGAATTACTTACCCTATGATTTGGGGAAGAGATGGTCTTTGAAAAATCGCCTCTTGTGTTTTAGTTCTTGAAAATTTGGGAAATGAATGAAAATTCCCGTCCAAAAACTCATTTTGTTCAGCTTCAGACGTCGCATTTACGACCTGAGCTTCGCAAATGCGAAGCTCGCAATTGCAAAGGGGCTATCGCAATTGCGAAGCCTTCCCAATCCTACTACCCTTCGCAAATACTAAGAAAAATTCGCAATTGCGAACACAGGCTGGCTCAGCTTCTCTTCGCATTTGCGATGAGAAGTTCGCAAATGCGACCTCAACAGTGATCGCAAATGCCAACCCTGACCTCGCATTTGCGAGGTCTGAGGCCTGTAACACAGCTGAAGAACACCAGCTATTTTTCTAAGTCCAAATCACTCCGTAGCCTATCCAAAACTCACCCGATCCCTCGGGGCTCCAAACCAAACATGCACGTAAGTCTAAAAATATAATACGAACTTGCTCGCGTGATCAAATCGCCAAAATAACACCTAGAACTACGAATTTAGTACCAAATCAAATGAAATTCTCAAGAACACTTTAAAATTTCTATTTTCGCAACTGGACGTCCGAATCACGTCAAATCAACTTCGTTTCTCACCAAATTTCACAGACAAGTCTTAAATATCATGATGAACATGTACGGAGCTCCGGAACCAAAATACGGACCCGATACTAACAATGCCAAATATCAATCAATTCTTAAAAATAATTAATTTTTAGACTTTTAATTTTTATCAAAAATTCATAACTCAAGCTAGGGACCTCCGAATTCAATTCCGGGCATACGCCCAGGTCCCATAATTCGATACGGACCTATCGAGATCGTCAAAGCACGGATCCAGGCCCGTTTACCAAAAATATTGATCGAAGTCAACTAAAATTAACTTTTAAGGTAAAAATTCTTATTTTCATCAGTTTTCAACATAAAAGCTTTTCGGGAACCTGCCCGGACTGCGCACGCAAATCGAAAAGGGGAAAAATGAGATTTTTACGGCTTAAGAACATAGATTCGAGTTCTAAAACCTAACATGACCTTTTGGGTCATCACATTCTCCACCTGTAAAATAATCGTTCGTCCTCGAACGGACATAGAAAAGTACCTGAGCTATTGAAAAGGTGGGGATATCTACTTCACATATCATNACTAAGTCTGTGCCCAACAACCGAGCCTCTCCCGGCTCGAACCACCCAACTGGCGACCGACACCTCATACCATATAATGCCTCATAGGGAGCCATCTGAATGCTCAACTGGTAGTTGTTGTTGCAGGCGAACTCTGCAAGGAGCAAGAACTGATCCCACGATCCTCTGAAGTCTATAACATAAGCGCGTAGCATATCCTCCAAGATCTGAATAGTACGCTTGGATTGCCCGACCGTATGAGGATGAAATTTTGTGCTCAACTCAACCCGCGTACCCAACTCACATTGTACTGCCCTCCAAAAGTGTGAGGTAAACTGCGTACCTCGATCAGAAATGATAGACACGGGCACACCGTGAAGACGGACTATCTCCCGAATATAAATCTCTGCCAACCGCTCCGAGGAATAGGTAACTGCCACAGGAATGAAATGCGCTGACTTAGTCAGCCTGTCCACAATAACCCAAACTGCATCGAACTTTCTCTGAGTCTGTGGGAGTCTAACAACAAAATCCATAGTGATACGCTCCCACTTCCACTGAGGAATATCTAACCTCTGAAGTAAACCACCAGGTCTCTGATGCTCATACTTTACCTGCTGGTAATTTAGGCACCGAGCTACATAGGCAACTATGTCCTTCTTCATTCGCCTCCACCAATAATGTTGCCTCAAGTCCTGATACATCTTGGCGGAGCCCGGATGAATGGAATACCGAAAACTGTGGGACTCCTCAAGGATCAACTCACGAAGTCCATCCACATTAGGCACACAAATACGACCATGCATCCTCAAAACTCCGTCATCTCCAACAGTAACCTGCTTGGCACCCTCGTGCCGCACTATGTCTCCAAGGATAAGTAAACGAGGATTGTCATCCTGCCGATCTCTGATGCACTCAAACAAAGAAGACCAAGCAACTGTACAAGCTAGAACACGGCTGGGCTCATAAACATCTAACCTCACGAACTGGTTAGCCAAGTCTTGAACATCCAATGCAAGCGGTCTCTCACCCACTGGAATATATACAAGGCTACCGATACTAGCTGATTTTCTACTCAAAGCATCGGCCACCACATTGGCCTTCCCGGGATGATACAATATGGTGATATCATAGTCTTTCAATAGCTCCAACCATCTTCTCTGCCACAAATTGAGTTCCTTTTGCTTGAACAAATACTACAAGCACCGATGATCAGTGAATACCTCACATGGCACGCCGTAAAGATAGTGCCTCTAAATCTTCAGCACGTGAACAATGGCTGCCAGTTCTAGATCATGAACAGGGTAGTTCTTATCGTGAACCTTCAGTTGCCGTGAAGCATATGCAATAACTTTGCCACCCTGCATCAATACCGCTCCCAGACCAATACGAGATGCGTCACAGTATATTGTATAAGATCCTGAACCTGTAGGTAACACCAATACCGGTGCCGTAGTCAAAGCAGTCTTGTGCTTCTAAAAGCTCGCTTCACACTCGTCTGACCACCTAAACGGGGCACCCTTCTGGGTCAATCTGGTCAACGGGGCTGCTATGGATGAAAACCCCTCCACAAATCGACGATAATAGCCCGCCAAACCTAGGAAACTACGGATCTCTGTAGCTGATGTGGGTCTAGGCCAGTTCTGAACTGCTTCAATCTTCTTATGATCCACCTGAACACTCTTTGCTGAGACAACGTGACCTAAAAAAGCAACTGAACTCAACCAAAACTCGCATTTTGAGAACTTAGCATATAACCGGTTGTCTTTTAGAGTCTGAAGAATGATCCGAATGTGCTGCTCTTGCTTCTCTCGACTGTGGGAGTAGATCAATATATCATCAATAAATACAACCATAAAGGAATACAGGTAGGGTTTTAACACCCGATTCATCAAATCCATGAATGCTGCTGGGGCATTTGTCAGCCCAAATGACATCACTAGGAACTCATAATGCCCATACCGAGTCCGAAAAGCTGTCTTAGGAACATCGGATGCCCTAATCCTCAACTGATGGTAGCCAGATCTCAAATCAATCTTTGAAAACACCTTGGCACCCTGAAGCTGATCAAATTAATCATCAATCCTCGGTAATGGATACTTGTTCTTAATGGTGACTTTGTTCAATTGCCGATAATCTATACACATCCTCATCGATCCATCTTTCTTCTTCACAAACAACACAGGTACACCCCAGGGCGAGACACTAGGTCTAATGAAGCCCTTATCAAGCAAATCTTGTAACTGCTCCTTCAATTCTTTCAACTCTGGCGGGGCCATGCGGTATGGCGAAATGGAAATAGGCTGAGTGCCCGGAGCCAAATCATTGCAGAAATCA